TTGACAGAACATTGGTAGCTAGTGGCGTTAATTTCGAACAATGAGGCCAGTGTTAACGTGGTCGAATGCTGAGCAGGTTGCTTCTAGAATTATCCTCCACACTGCAGTACTTCCAGACTGATACAAAATCGAGATAAGCGCCAGTATGCCAATGTCCTGCTTCGCGCCACTGTCGCTTCAAAGAGGATAGTAGAGTCGTCTGAGAACATCGCTAGACTCCTCCAAGGTATGACTGATGCAAAACCCGCACCTGTTTGGGAGAATTCTCAAATATGTTGGTCGGGTCAGACTCTGCGTTGCATATGACGGTCAAATTTTCTCTTGTTTGTGGATGTTTGGCCACGCCGCAGGAGAGGGTGGAGGGGCTGAGAGTGCAGTGTTGATGAGTACACAACACATCCAATTCGGAGGTCTATGCCGCGGAACGACGCGATAGTGATCCTGCCTGGCTTCTCGCGCCCGTTTTAGAACAGGCCGGTGTGGTATTCGATACATACCAGAAAGCCGATCTATAGGATAGAACCGATTGTGTTACCATACAGCATAGGCCCCACTGGGTATCGGATCACAATCTCGGCATTAGAGTGAGGGTTCTTCTAAACGAGCGCAGTCGCCGCGAAGGCGAGATATACGCTATTGCCATGGCCTAGGCACAGGCTGACACTGGCAACTATGGCTGAGGATTGAAATACCCAGTCAGTGTCGTAGACCGAGGGGCCGGATGCATAGCCGATTCTGCTGGTTGCTTGGCAGGTTTCAAAGAGCGCTGAGTGCATGGATGTGGCTCGAAGACGGAGTGGCTCACCGACATCACGTTATTGATGTAGGATGGCGGAAAGTTCGATCTCTTGAACGATTTCGATGCCAAAACGCGCTAGCACGGCGACACGTGCTCGCGCTGCAGAGGATCGAAGATCCTGACGCGGCAAGTGATTGGCGGGACGGCAATAGCGCCGAAGTGGCGCCACGAAACCTCGATACGAAATTCCCCTTCGAGCCTTCCTCCACCCGCCAGATACCAGCTACTCGCGCTTCTTTCTGTGGCACTTTTCTGATACGCGTTTTTCACAGAGTCATGCAGAGGTCTATATAGACCGGAGCCTTGCAGTTGATCTTGCAGTAACAACGCGGCTGACGTCACGGTCTCAAAGGAATGGACCAAGGAGCTTCACGAAGTCCACCACCACTGCGTTCACTCCTACCTGCACCTGCCGGTGGATTTCGCAGAGAATCTGTGGAGAGGCAAAAGGCTACACGTGTCAACGCTTGCGAGGCTTGCCGAGTTCGTAAGTCAAGAGCAAGTACATACATGCTGCGCCTTTGGTGCTTTTGCTGACCTACAAACAGTGCGACGGATTAAAGCCTAAATGCACTGCATGCGTGACGCGAGAGACTGAGTGTCGTCATGGCGAGACGGAATCACGGCAGTTCAAGCGTAGATACGAGCAGCTCAAAGAGAAGCGTACTGCCCAGGAAGAAGTATTCGATATGTTACAAAACCTACCGGAGAGGGACGCAGCCGGCATCTTTCGCCGCATTCGAGCCGGCGCAAATGCGGAGGCCGTGGTAAAGCATATTCAAGAAGGGAATATGGTCGCTGAGGCTTCTGATGTTCCGCAAGCGTCGTCGCGCTTTCACTTTCCGTTCCTGGATGAGATACCACCAAGCCTTCGGGACAGCGCTTACTTTCGATCACGGGTTTATGAAGTAATCGATGCATCTGACAGGGACATGGGTACTTCAGAGGCGCATCTTGCTCCGCAAAAGAGCAATTACTGGAGACCTTTGTCCTCGGCCAAGTTGGTTGACCCTCTACTTGAGGATGCACAACCGTCGCAATGGACTAGTGTTAGCTCCAACGATCGATTGCTGCGCAACATTCTCGAAAGTTACTTTGTCAATCAGTATCCAAGACAGTTCTTCTTCGTCAAGAATTATCTACTAGAAGACATGGTATCGAGAAGAGCTGAGTTCTGCTCTCCTCTACTCGTTAATGCACTTTTGGCCAAATCTTGTGTGAGTAAGTGTACACCTGTATCATGGATGGGGGTTCACTAACGTGCCATAGGTTAGTTCTCGACTGTTTGCCAACCAGACCAAGTTTTGGAATCCAGATAGCCTGCCATATCGATTCTTGGCTGAAGCAAAACGACTATGGGAACTAGAGGAGGAGCAGCCAAAGCTTACAACGATTCAAGCTGGCTGCCTCATTAACGCCACGATGAACGACTTTGGTCATGACAGGGTCGGGTTCTCTTACATGTTCAAAGCGCTCAGCATGGCACATCGAATGAGTCTCTTCACGCCTCGGTCATATGACAATAAACTTGAACACGCGAAATCGTTCACTGCTTGGGCCCTTTCCGCGTGGCTGTCGTAAGTACACTTGTTCAATATCATTCCTCAGCTAACTTCTGTCAGATTACAGAGCTACTACTACTTCAAGCCACCGTGCCTCTTGGATATCCCGGCAGATCCGCTTCCTGACGTCGATGGTAGATCGGAGTGGTATGGTCAGATGTCATTGCGTTATCCACCGGACGAGCAGACCTACTCACCCGAATTCGCCCATAGTATGAAAGCACTGTGCGAGTTGCGGGTCATCCAGAATGAGATCGGTGTCATGTGCTTTAGTCGCTCCAAAGAGTCTAGGAAGATGCCTTGGGGTGCAGCTCTGCATATCCAGGCAAAGTTGGAAGCCTGGTATGGAGGTTTGCCTGCCCAACTGCAACCCCGCTGTATCGTGTACCCCGCTCATCTGATGCTACAGTAAGTGGCCACGCCAGATGATCATGATATGAAAGCTAAGATATTTGCAGTTGCGAGTACTATGCGGCTCTGGTAACTTTGTTCCGGTCGCAAATTTCGTCTGGGAATGATGGCGTCCAGCTGTTGACGCAGCATCAACGCAACGCAGCTGAGCAAATCGTTACCCATGCAAGCGTTCAACTCGAGAGTATCTTGCGCTTATACTACCTCCGCCATAGTTTCGAGGATTACGACTCCACGCTTACCATCTTCCTGGCCCAGCTCGCCAACCTAACATTGGAGCCTCTTGAACAACTCGAACGAGATCCGGGCAACGCTCCCCCGGAAGTCAGCGAATCTCTCCTTTCGACACTCGTCTTATGCTTCGGTGGCTTATATGAGCAATCCAAAAGCGCCTACATCGCCGGTATCATGCTCATGATCATGAGAAAAAGACTGAGTGCCGACGTTCGCAACGCTGTCGGGCGTTATGTCTCGATCGAAGAGACGGATAGCGATACTGATCCAATGGACGAAACGGACCTAGGGTTTTCACATCCAATTCTTTCGGAACTCATACTGCCGGGTACAAGCCTCAGCGACGATCCAAAGTCGTGGAGATTGAAGAATTTGGTGGATGATCCTAGGAGGTATTCGGGGTAGCAACAGAATGGGATGCGATTAACGCGATGATATTGATATGCAGATATAATAGACGAATGAGGAACGAAGCAGGCACTCTCGATACGTTTTTCGGTCATATGACCACATTGTTCCCAGCAAAGCTCGACCTAAAAGCTGACCTCGGGAGTGTCCAGCCCTTTGACCACGTGATGTCTGTCTGGGGGTTCTTCGGTCCTGCACTTCAGGTAGAGTGCGCGATCAATGTTGTTAGGAAGATTCGACGCGTCGAGGCCGCAGAGCAGCAAAAGTAAATGCTCGCCACACGGCCAGATCGAAAGGATCGATGACCCTTTCATTTCTCATGCCAGGAGACTACCGTATCTTCATAGTATATCGATATTGTGGCGCCGCGCTGTCATCGGGTTCAAACTCTCTGGTGTTCCATCGTTACCCGTAAGCAACACTACGGTATGATCTCCGGATGTTAAAGCGCCGTCGCGTTGCAGATGATGGACGCGACGCCGAAAGAAGATAAGGGAAGGTGCTGACACGGCAACTCCTCGCCTCAACCTCAGGTTTGGCGGTTTGAAGAACGCGAGTCAAGTTGTGCAATGCCTGCAAATGTCTCTCTTCGCAAGATTTGTTGGAATCCTTCGCTGTGTAGGACGCGATGCAGCCCTGGAGGCGTTCCAGAAGCGGGACAGAGAAGGATGCCAAGACACTAACTAGTCAAGCGGGCCGCTGACGTGGTGAGACGCTCACGAGAAAACGACAGCTCGTTGACACGGCGATAGCCATACCTGGTGGACGAATTGTGAGTTGCCACCACGGTAAAAAACGGAGATCAGATGAAAGCGATGGAGCTGCATCCTCGCTCGTGCAGATGTCACAACGAACGGCCCACCACCTCGTTGGTTCGGCAGAGCCCCGCATCCGCGGATCCATCTGCATCACGCGCACAGACATTCGATAGAACCCAAAATCAGGAGGCGGTGGAGAGTTTCAACGCGCGTCAAAAGCGCGAAGTTCCCGCCCCTCTTCCCGTTGCATTCCCGTTGGACCCACGACTTCCATTCAGGTACCAACGCACACGAACCGTGAAGAAGACAGCACTTGCAGCTTTGAACCTGTCCAGACAGCATCATGCCAGTGGACGAGTGGACTCCTAGTAAAATTACGTATGACCCACCCGAGAAAGGTCGCTTGGGGTATTCCGATCCTGTAGAGTGAGCATCTTGCGAGTAGTTACAGGAGGTCTCCAGCTGATCTCTTTCTATAGATACCATGATGTGACCCCCGCAAAGCGTGCCCACCCTACGGAGCCAGAATTCTCCGTAACGAAGAAGCGATTTTTTAAAGATATACGACCTCTCCCAACCTCCCCGAACCAACACAAGTCCAAGAACAACTCCCGAAAAGCATCCTCCAGCAATTCGAAGTCGCGGTCGGCGTCTACCACCAAGCAGCGAGTGCACGTGGACCTTACCAATGATGAAGACATGGAAAGCGTTGATGGACGTGTACCAGAAAGCGTTGATGGCGGTGTTCCAGAAAGCGTTGATGGTGGTGTTGCATTGAGCAATGCAAGCGTTAATGGAGGCGTTTCAATCCCTCCCTCTGAAGCCGCTATGGACATCTCGTCTCCTGTATCTTCGCGTGCGACAATGCAATTCAGAGCCGAGCATACTGAACTCCCGGAAACACCACTACAATCGAGACAAGACAAGGGCAAAGGCAAGGCTACTGAGATGGCGCCACCTCCACGGTTGCCCACGCCGGACTCCGAGGAAACACATTCCCCACCTCATCAACCTACGGAAAGTGAAGTCGGAAGGATTGTCTACGCTTACCTTCGCGAACTTGGGCTGGATCTGATAAACCCGCAAAAGAGTTTGGCGAAAGCCTTCGATGCTCTAAGGAAAGAAATGGATGAGCCTCTAGACCTCAAGAAGTGGTGCTTGCCGGCAAGATTCGACAAAGAAGGGACAGAAGTTCCGTTCAGTGGCAAGCCATTCTTCCAAGTCCCCTTGAATATTGTCAATGAGCTTTCGGATGCGATTGCACAGGGAAATTTCCTGGATGGAGAGTGGGCGCCTTTATGGGACGCCTTCGAGGAATTCTATCCCGACAAGCTGCCCGGCGCCAGGATGAGGGCAGAAAGGGAGGCTGCAAGTCAGAGTGCTTCTCAGCAGGTGCCACCACCAACGCAACCGAGGGCAATGAGGGATACTGCGAATCATGGAGCGGGGCCTTCTCAGCAACCAACACCGTCAACGCGACCAAAGGCAAAGAAGCGTGCAAGAACTGCTCGACAGTCTCCTGAGCCGGAAGAACTTCCATACGGCCCTTGGCTCACCCGTTGGGCTATGAGTTTGGGCCCAGAAGACTTCACGTTCCCTGGAGATTGCCCATGGGCATATAAGAAAGTCGTTAATCTGACCCACGAGGAACGGGTGGACATTGCAATGAAGTACCACAGCAAAGAGCTGACCGACATTATCGGGAGAAGGCAGTTCAACTGGTGCAAAGCAGCGCTTAGATATCATGGCTTGATTCGCTAGGGGACATATCTGCGCCAGAGCACCTGGATGTATGTCAACATGCGAACTGCATGTACGCAAAACTTGCTGGAAGCCTGGTCACCATCCTGGCAGTCCCCGAAGGCCGACTCCTTCGCTGAACAGCTTCACCGATGAGTCTGTGCTGGGTCGAGGTCGAACTAGTGGTTGTTGCAACGAGGCGGAGCTAGCGGTCAGGACCGTGCAGCGCCTGACTGTGGACTGAGGCCTAGTAGAGGCAGGCATGGTTGGAACAGTTCTCGATGTGAAGCCGACGGAGGCATTCTTGGCAGAGTTGCTGCGCGGATGAGCGGCAGCACGAAAGAGGCGGCGAGAGCTGGATGTTGCTGTCGGAGAGGCATGATTGCCCAGCGGGCGATAACGAATTTCATTGATTGATAATTTCTTGCTTTGGGATAGTGTTGTTCGTGTCTCGCTATCATTTACTAACTTGTCAGATAGGCCGTCATCTTCTACTACATGTTCGAACTTGTCGGCGAAGTCTCCAGATTTCTTGTGTTTACTGCTTGTGTTGACTGAGTCCTCTGGAGAGGCGCCGCGCTACGCCATCAGCGAGCAGCTTCTGTAGTAATGAGCCCGCCTCCTATATCGTCGACCAAGCATTGTCTATCGGCATCATAATACCGCTGATCGTCTTTGCAACATCAGACGCAAGGAATGCAATGCCCTGTGCGATATCGTTCGGGCCCACTGATCCGTATGGCAGATCGTCTCTTTTGAGACCTTGGCACAACATCTGCACGGGGCTGCGAGCTTGTCAGCAATGACAGGGTGTTAAGGGCGGTAAACCCTTACTTGTACGTTTCCATTGCAGCCTGATCGACGTCCTCTTTCACCACCGACGAGCGGATATTGGTCGGCACGGCTGAAACTCTTATTAGAATAAGATCTTCGGAGTTCAAGGACTAGACGCGGTACTCACCGCCTGGGAGTACGGCATTACACCTAATACCGTCTTTGCGAAAGCGCCATGCGACGTTCTTGGTCGCACCGACAAGCCCATGCTTACTGGCTGTGTATGCGATGCCTGCCACTGCACCGGAAAGACTTGCATAACTACCAACATTGATGATGGCACCGCTTTTCTGGTCTTTCATACTGGGCAACACAGCCGCCATCAATCTGACCGGTACTGTGAGGTTGATAGTCAGGACGCGCTCCCATTCCGAGTCCTTGACTGTATCGGCGCTGCCAAAACCATCCATGATGCCTGCAACATTAGCCAGCACGTCGATCTTCGGTCCGTACTTTGCGATGCAAGCAGCTATGGCATCTTCTGCTGAGCCGGGTTTGCAAAGGTCGGTTTTGTGGAAGGTGAATAACGCTTTCTGGGTGACATCAAGGTCTTGGTCGAACGGCGACATATCGATGCCGAAGACTTGGGCTTTCTGTGATAGGAAGAGGAGGGTCGTCGCGAGGCCAATGCCGCTGCTGCAACCCGTGATGATGACAGTTTTGTTGTCGAAAGATGTCATTGCGATGAGTATCTTCTATGTAATATTTTGACTGCACATGCCGCTCGCAGCAACTGGCGTTTTATGCATGCCTTGGATCTGTTCTTATGGCTTTCGCGAACACGTAAACACCGTATCAGAAGTTCGTCCTGATTCATATGTCCCGCAATCTAAATGCACACGAGATCAAATCGGGCTATTTGCGCGACCCAGCTGAACAGCTGGCCAACCAGAAGCTTAGCCGTTCGGGAACGATGAAAGCAGGTAGCATCGCCGAGCTTGGAGCGTGATCTATGGGGGCATTCAACCGACGTTGCTATTGCGTTCGCGCAACGACAGCAGAGATACTCAGTGAGTCCATCTTTGCATGAGGCAGAAGGCGATAGCCCAGCACTTTGCGATTGGCATACATCGCGAGCGTATCCAAGACCTCATCTGCATTTGCATGCAACGAGCAGGTAGAAGCGACTCATTAGAGTGGCGGCTGTAAGCGGGAACAGCGAAACGAGTTATGCTTTTTCGACCTTTGGTGTGTTCCATGCCGACGGAGTTGTACCCGGGAGGATGCCCTCCGACAGCGACTGCTACGTACGCCAAGCTCCCCCAGGTCGCAACGCGTCTGCGCGCTCGAAGTCGCGTCACTTCCATGACTCCCACATCCTGCATTGTCCATAGTAACGATGGGAAATCTTGACAACTATCCTTTTAACTTCGAGTTCCCTGTAGGTCCGTACGTCGACAAAGGACGGCGTTTTCGGTCTTGGACGTTGTATGACGTCTTCTCAGCCGGTTCGTACATACCTTCCAATGTCTGCATCGCACTGACAAGCGAACTTAGACATGCCCGAAGAGGAATTCAAGGCTCTTGTAGACCTGCACTGTGCCGTCAGTCCGGATGTCTTTTACCTCATAGTCGACAATAGGTTCAGAAATACACTGCATTTCCTCAAGATGTGTTTGGCTCGCGATTTGGATTTCTACTGGGATATACGGCACCACACAACAAACCAGAAGCCACTGAAGAAATACTTCGACAAGATTTTCCTGCCACGTCTGCTTCACATGATGCGGAACTTGGCCACTGAAGCTGTCCGTTGCTGGGATATGGCAGTAGCGTGGTATATGACCATGAAATTGGAGTTGTTACACAGCGAAGACATATATCTCGACAGCAACGCTGATGAGGATCTCGATTGTTTCTTGCTTGAATCATTTTACGACTGGGACGGAAGAACACCCCGATATCGCCAGGAATCCTACTGCAGGCCGATACCGTTTGTCGGTGCCGCCCGGATGTGTGGATATATCCGAGAATGGGTAAGAGACATGCATGGTTGTCCCATTCACGACAAGTCCGAATGGAGCCCTGAGAAGTACGGACCTTCTGGGTATACCAAAGAGTCCTGTATGCAGTCTCAGTTCGTAGCAGCCTACAGCATCTTTGAACGCCAGGCTTATGCCGAAACCAAAAGAAAAGTGTATCACGTCATAGGGCTCAGGTTGCCGAGAGAGCTTACAGATATGGTGTTTGATTATGCTCTTGTGGCCGAAAGCATACCCAAGGATCTCCCGACATATGATGAGTTGGAACCCGACTTTGAAAAATGCGGAGAAGGTGCGTGAGCGACAACCAAGGAGTGGAATTGAGGAAAGCGAATCCAGTGGAGATGGTCGGCGACGTCACTTGGGAGATTGTTCGGCGATAAGCCGCAAAGCGAAGGGGTTGCGTTTTGATACTGTCTGGTGCTTGTATTGGAGGAATATCTGCGCTCCACCGTATCGAATGACAGTCTGCAACACAATCTTGCCGTCAATTGAGATGTTACCTGTCTTCAAGTTGCCCGGAGACGCCGAAGGTTGGCCAGCGCATGCTCCCAAATGAGATGTCCTGAACAAAAAGAGAAAGGCTGGATCTGACAACACGTCATCGTCGTCCAGATTCTACTCAAAACGTAAGCTGCACCGAGATTTGGGTGGGGAGTGGAGCAGCACGTCGCACAACAGCTGCCAGAGCTGGCCGATCACATGCTGGAGTATTTGTAAGTATCTTGTACTCGGCGAACAGGAAAGGTGAATTTTCAAGATGACGTCCCTGACGCTAACAGAAGGTGCCCTGCATAATCGGGCCTTTTCCATCGTAGCTACCCCGCATGTCGTCACATTGAGCAAGGTGCTGTCCAGTGGAAAGCTATCGAACTTTTCATAAAAGGTTTAAAGACAACGACTCTACGCAGCAACTCACCAAATCAAACACATCATACCTTCAAAATGTCTAAGCCAAACATTCTCTTCGTCCTCACCTCGCACAACAAGCTCGGCGACACGGGCAAGCCCACCGGCTGGTACCTCCCCGAGCTCGCCCACCCCTACCACGTCCTCCACAGCAAAGCCAACATCACCGTAGCATCGCCCAAGGGCGGTGGATCACCCCTCGACCCCGCATCCGTCGAAGCCGCAAAGGACGATGTATCCGTCAACTTCCTCAAGAACAACGAGCAGGTCTGGAAGACAACCCAGAAGCTGAGCGACTTCAAGGGCAAGGCGCAGGACTTCGACGCCATCTTCTACGTTGGCGGTCACGGACCCATGTTCGATCTCGTCGACGACGCGACCTCGCAACAACTCATCAGGGAATTCTGGGAGGCGGACAAGATCGTTTCGGCTGTGTGCCATGCGCCCGCTGTCTTCTACGATGCTAAGCTGAGCGACGGAAGTCTGCTTGTCGCTGGCAAGGAGGTTACCGCATTCACAAACGCTGAGGAGGAGCAGGTTGGCCTATCCAAGGTCGTACCCTTCCTGCCCGAGGATGCGCTGAACAAGGCGAGTGGAGGCAAGTTCGTCAAGGCAGCTGAGCCTTGGGGCGAGAAGGTCGCCATCTCTGGTCGCTTGATCACTGGACAAAACCCTTCCAGTGCCACCGCCGTCGGCGAGGCGATCGCAAAAGCGTTGGGCATCTAAGGAGGAATCATCAAATGTAAATAAGGGCCATGTAGAACAAATTCTATCATGATTATACGAATGTTTTTCATTTACGAAGGATGATATATACATCCAATCTAACATGTCTCTCGTGATCCTTCCTTCAAACTACTTCTCCTAATCTAGGCCAGTTTATACGTACATGTACGTAACTTCGGTGACAGTCTCGTAGACGGTGGCTGGTGGGCAAGCAGCAGCGGGAGCGGAGTGCTCTGGTGCCATGGTGGTGACGGGAGCGGGAGCGGGAGCATGCGACTCTTCAACGGGCGCGTGAGAGGGCTCGACAGGCAGGTAGGTAGTCTCGTAGGGCTTCTCAGAGGTCATGAGAGTGCTGGAAGCATGCATGGTAGAGTTGCCGTACGGCATGGTGGTGTTGAGGTGCTTGTGAGGGATGGTGATAGGGTATGCGGTAGCCGCCTCGGAGGTGGCGGTGGAAGTAGCGTTCGCAGTGGTGACAGGGATGTATGAAGAGATCATAGTAGATGGCTTCATCATGGTGGTGGTGACAGCTTCCTTACTGACAGTCAAGGCCTCGGAAGAGGCTGGTGC